CCCTGGGAACACTTTTACGGAAGGAAAATCGAAGGGGGCCAAAACCAAACATTTTTTTGGGCCCCCCCCCCCCCCCCCCCCCCACGGTTTCCCTCCTGTTTTATCGCGGAACAAATAAAAACACCACACCGCGAATCAGCGCCAAGGAGCGAGTGATGTTGCTCGTGGACAGCGAGCACAAGGACGTCCAGCGCCACGCGCTGCAGTGCGTGTCCAAGATCATGGTCAACAAGTGGGAGTTTATCCGGTGAACAGCAACAGCAACGGTCGGTCGGTCCGCCTGGCTGATTTTCGTCACCACCGTGGTTTGATTAAACAAAAATGGTCCCGTCTCCTGAAGCTGTAGCTAGGTTTGGGCGTCACCGCTGGTCGGCGTTTGTTCGTTTAGCATTAGGAGTTCCTAGGCGTACTTCTAAAACGGGGGGAGTTTTGTCGAATCGATCAAGGACGACGGTGATTCCATTTGGCCTCCCGCTTTTTTCTCTTGTTTGCTTGGCCTGGTTCCAACTCACACGTCGGGGTAGTGGGAACGATACGGCGTCCGTGACTGTTTCCTGAGGGAGGTCTCTTGGTTTTTTCCCGGCGAAATGGACTCTGTCGCCTGTTTGGTTCCGTCCGATAGCCTTGTCTGGCGAGAGACCACAAGCGGAAGAGAGGGAAAGAAAACTAACTAAGACAGCACATGCCCTTCGGCAATTGTGTCTTGGTTTTTTTCTTTTTTTGCTTTCGCGTCTTTTCGAGCGGATCTTTTTTCGCCCTCCGAGTGATGGTTGACAGATTGCGTGTTTTTTTGTCATCCTTCTGCGGCATTGTTGGAAGGCATGTTGATTTGGTCGGCTTGGAAAGGGTAGACCGAAAGACTGAGAATACGGACGATATCTACAACGAAACGCGAAATTTGCCACCCCCGTGAAGGCATGTCTGTTCCGTCTGAACCGTTGTGTGCCCCTTGGCTTGAAGCTCTCTTCGGAATCTGGCACCTGTGGAACAGGTGGTTCTGTTTGTTTTTCATGTTGTATTTCCAGATTTTGGTCGTTTCAGCGGGGTCCCACGTGCATATTGTATAGTCTAGACTACGTTGTTTCTGGACAACATCCTATAATAGCTATGAGAGCTCGAAGAGAAGCAGCTGTTTTTATTTTGTGGTTGTCGCTTCACACTTCACACGGCGCATACATGGTGGTGGGGGGGCGCGTACGCGTGGAAAGAGAGGCGTGTCGTTACGAGACTGATACAAATGTGGTTGTCAAAACCAAACCATGTGTTCGTTCACCCCCCACCCCCGCCCCCCCTCACCAACTCCTCTTCCCCTCTGCCGCCACCGAATCGTTGGATGGACAATCCTTTCTTGCGGTCATTTTTATCTTTTGGGGGGGAGGGGTTCTCGCGGGGGGTGCGGTGAAGGGTGCGGGGGGTAGGAGACATCACACGAGCAGCAACGGTTGGAGCTGGTATTCGTCTGCGGTGATCGTGGCTCCGTACCCAGGAGCATTAGTTTTGCTTCTGTTGCACCACGTGGGGGTTGAAGATGAGCCATGATGTTTGTATTACGGTCATCGCACGCTCACATGCAAACTTGCAATGCACTTGTTGCGTGCGCACACTCTCGGCGGGGCAACGCAGCATATCATGATGATGATGACCAGGGAGAGAAGACGAGAGAGCGAGAGAGAGAGAGAGAGAGAGAGAGAGAGAGAGAGAGAGAGAGAGAGATTAAACAAAGACCGAACGCAAGCAATGACCACCGACTTGAATCCCTCTGTTCATTCACTACAAACAGTCCTAAAGAAAGACCCAGCGGACAGGACGAAACCAAAAAAAGGTGAAAAAGAACTGCCAATGTTCCCTCTTGGCCTGGTTTTAGAGTTCGCCCCGCCGCCATCTCCAGGCCCTCTGGAGATATATATACCCCTGTCTTCGTTCATGGTGATTTTTTATTTAGGTGTGCGTCGTCATATATCATCGAAAAATCGAGAGCTTGGAGAAGCGCAGACACAGGGAGATAAAATACGGAGAAAACACAAACAACCTCAACACTTCAAATACGCAACAAATATGGAGGTCTTACGTATACGTCAACCAGGCGAACGGGCTACTCAGTACCTATCTTTGATGCGCGTTGCAAATGCATTGTATCAAAAGGTGAGCAGCCGTGGGGGTCGTTCAACCCCCGGACCCATTCTCAAAGAAGCCCGATCGATTGATTTTTACTCGCAGCAGTAAATTTACAGCCGAAAATGGCAGGGTTGGAACCGTCTCGCCAAAAGGGTCTTTCCAAAGGTTTGACCGTGGTAATCTCTCTTCATCGTGGAGTAGTCGAGCTCACAACTCGGTCAGCGGTGTCCAAGAGGGTGGATGGTATCTTATCTTCACACAACGGTAAAATGAATCGGAGAGATTGTTCGGAATGATGGAATGACGTAAGAACAGCACTCCCATCTGGGGTGCCCCCGGCAAAGCGTGTGTCTCATTCCATCCTCACATCAGACCACACTCTGTTTGCATGCTGACACAACAACCAGCAAAAAGACGAGAAAAAGAGGTGGGAGGGGGGGACGCCGCCGCCGCCGCGCCGCCGCCGCCGCTTCGGGGATCGACCCAGATAGATAAACGGGCATAGTTAGGTCCCGTTAAAACGGAGATTTAGCACCATTGTTGAACTCGGGAGCAAGCGCAAGGCAATGGGCGATCGCGACACACCGAGCCACGGGCTGTTTGTGTCCGACCTTCCCAGTGACATCACCGAAAAGGTAAGAACGATGATGGTTTCGGGCTTGCTGCTCATGCCCGGGTGCGAATTGCGCTCTCAAAAAGAGGGGGGGAGTACTTGAGGGAGAGATTGTCGCGGGCGTCACGCGGTGTGTGTGTGTGTGGCATAGCAACAACGAGAGCACCTGTTGATGCCTCTGTCGAACATCCCCCACACGGGAGAACCATCGAGGGTCTTCGGGAGCGGGAGAACCTCAGGTGCCCTGTGCGCACAAGGGGGTATGGGATCAGCTGCTGCTGCTGCTGCTGCTGCTGTGCGCCCGCCGCGTGTTGTATGACAGACGGGATGTCATTGTTTCTATTCATCCGTAGTCGTGGTGATTCGAGGCGCCTTTATCGTGGCGTTGGCGCGCGATAGGTGGCCTTATTCTGTAAAGGGAAGATGTGCACCACCATGAGCATCACATCTAGGAAATACTTCATTTTGGTTTCGTGCCGTACATTGAAGACACACCCCAGCTTACAGAGGAGAGGAGCTGCAAAAGCAGCGGGCAAAAGCGGCGGCTACTGCTGCAAGAAGCGAGGCTGAACTTATCCCGGGGCGTTGTTGTTGTCCACCGTCGCCGTTGGTTGCCACGCGAGGATGCTTTGCTCCCGTCCCTACACACACGTGTCCAACCCTCTTCTGCTCGGCATGTATTGCTTGCCACCAACCGACATATTATCTCTGGCGTGTGTTTTTTGGGAACAAACACACCTACGTTTTTTAAGTGCGCTTGAACGTGCATGGAGCGCACCAGGCCGCACACCAAAATTCGGGACGCTTTGTGTTCTCGATCCCGCCCGTGGCTATTCTGTCCTCCTTGCCCCATTTCACTGCCGTTTGGCTTGGCTTGCGTGTGTCCTCGGACTTATATGTGCACTGCTGTCGATTCCGAGCGTTTGTTTGCATACCGGATCTTTTGCTTGTACAGCAGCAGTACAGCAGTACGTGCATTGTGGGGCGGGGAATTTCCGACGATCAACATGTTTGTTTTTTTATCCCATTGATTGGGGGTTGCCGATCGAGCGACCCGCCCACACTCTTGAGCCGCGCGTCGTCTCTACCTTGGTTCGGCTGTTGTGCTACATGGGCGCAGGCCTCCCCTTCATGGAGCACCAATGCACAGGCAGCGCAGCCAACAGAAAAAAATCCTCGCTGTTTTTCGCAAGCGCACCCCCACCCCAGACAAGAGGTGTTCCACAGAATAGGAGACAAAGTTCGCCCGCGGGAAATCAGTTGCATGATCTGGGCGGAGAGCGAACGTTCCCAAAGTTTAAGATCACTCAGACCAAGAAGGGTCACTACAAAATGTTCACCATGTGAATCATGGCATTCCGTATGGTTTTGATCTACAGCAAAAGTACGTCTGTGTGCTTTTGACCCACGATTGTAGGCGCTACTTTTCGAAGATCAGCTCATCCGTCCGGAGGAAAGTGGTCTAGACGCAAGGCACGCTTTTTTTTTTTTATCGTGTGTGAAATGACATTGACGTGAAATTGGCGTAGAAGATGTGGTACACAATCTCGATGTACGTCGAGATGGAACACGACAGCAGCCGGACGAAAGGGACGTGGTGAAGTATTTTCAGTGAGTGGGGTGAAACCGGCTTGAAACTGGGGTTATAATGAGAGGTCGGTTTACGATTTTATTATCGGCCACAAACTTTTGGTTGAACGCCGTCGCTGCTGTTGGGTAAAAATGTGGATACCATGACGTTCCAAATGTAAAACAAGGCACAGCCACTCTCTTCCTTACAAAACTATTTCCCTCCACTCACTGAAAAGACTCCACCACATCCCGTTCGACTGCTGCTGTGGGTATATCTCGAATGTGTAGTCTTTCTGTGTGTGTTTTTATTATTCCTTAAAACTGTTATAAATCATTGCATATAATCGAACGACCAAGGGGTCTGTCAAAACCGTCAAACCTACACCCCTCCACAACGAACGCTGTTTTTTCTATATTGCTGCTTGCTGAAAAGACGCAACGGTTCAACGGTTGGCGTTATTCACAGCAGCAGGCAGCAGACATGCTTCCCCTTTTGCCTACAATACGTGTGTCGAAACCCTTTGTCTCAAAGCAAAGCGAAGGGCATCGCGTGGGGGTAGGCAAAGAAGACGCGCGGTCCACGCCAGAGAGTGCATGTAAAACCCCCACGACAGCAGTCGTGCAGTTTTTTGGTACGGGCCGGGCCGTAGGCGGTAAGCGGCCCTCGCTCTGCTACGCACCCAACCGCCTGGTTATCAGTTGGCAGAGGAGCGGTGTGAGGTACACTGCTGTGGTAGACAGTTCCGATAGTCCCGACTTGGGAAGATCTGCAGCGATTTGATCATTGGATGATTACTGCTGTTGCAAGTGTTAGTGTCGTTTCCCTGTGGAATATTTAAAACTGTTCCGGTCTCCAATCAGTAGTGTATGCATAGATTATCGCCCCCTTAGCCGAGGCGGCGCGGCAGGATGACGTGCTCACGCCGCTCGCCATCCGGTCTGGTTTCTTGGCGCTACTACTAGTACTGTTGAGCAACATGATGTCCTACGCGATATACTACTGCTACTACTGCAACAATGATAGCAAATTTTGATGATGTGTGTGACGACGTTGCTCTTCGATGCCGTACGTACTACAGCACCATTTGCGCTGCGTACTAGACCGGAACGGTTTTTAATGTGAAGACAACAACAACAACAACAACAACAACAACAACTACAACACCATGTAAGCGCTAAGAGCAGGGGAAGTAGAGACAGCCAATGCCGATGCTGCCTTTTTGTGGAGCTCGCCGACCATGAACTTCAGCAGTATCAAAAGCCAATCTCTTCCTTCCTCCCGAGTAGAGATCCTATTGGTCCAGCTGGAAGCATCGTGATCGCGTGGCGGTCAAGCCGCGGAGATTCCAACCTTGTCAGAATGCCCGTTGGGCGTGTGTTTGTTGGTGGTGGCAAGTGGCAATCAACGGTCGTCATGCAATCGCGACGTTCTTATCTTCATTGTTTTCAATGGGACAGGGAGACATTGCTGTACCCCGTTGTGTTCGTGATCAACGGCCATGCAGTCACGATATACGCATTCCACAGGTGGAATCCTATCGATGAGGATGCACGACAGCCGAGCTGTCAAGGCTGACACTCTTGTGTCCATGCGAACGTGCAACGTGCGATCGCGCGTTGTGCCAGATACTCGCGTCTCAGATGCATCTCCGCTCTCTCTCTCTCTCTCTCTCTCTCGCCCTGTATACCACTCTGTCCGGAAATATAGGGATCATTGTGGGGGGAATGGTGGGGCAAAAGAAAAAAAAACTGAGAAAAGGTCCTGTGTGACCTTCCTCTTGTGTGACCCCGGCTGATATACGTACGTCAGGTATCTATGTATACTCTGAAATCTGAAAGGTCTGTAAATTGGCGCCAGAATAGATGGGACGAACACATACACACATTTTGTGGTGTTCGGCTTTGTATTTGTATCCGAATTGTTGTTGTTGTTTGGTTGTTACATTTCGAACAGATTGGTACAGCAGTCGTGCGTGGTGCGTGGTAAAATACTGCTGTCATTCGTCATCGTGCCTCCGTGTACTACTGCTGCTGTATGCGTCATGAGAAAAGAATGTCAAGTGTTTCGACTATTCTCCTTTGTTTTTCATTTTCTCTTCCTGCTACACCTCGTCTTGCTTTCTTTACCGTTTCGGTTCATTTCACTGCAGGAGCTGGAGAGGCTCTTCGCGGGATGCCACGGCTTCGAGTCTTGCAGGGTCAGGAAGGACAAGAATGAGCAGTGAGTGTGTGTGTGCTTTCTATTTTTCTGTATTTTTGCTCTTGAACTGCTGTTACGTGTAAACATACTGAGCGAGAGGAGCCCGTTCAGTGATTTTTTTTTCTTTCGATAAATATGGATACCTGTAGAAAGTGATTTGCTAAATCTATGGATCCCGGACTACTGCTGTACTTTCTTTTGGATGGATTCGTTGCGTACAGTACCTGTTTTTGTGTAGAACAAAACATGCTACAATGTATGCATAACACACACATTGAATCCAATCTCTTCTCCACAGACAGAGGAAGTCCGGGACACAGCGGTAACGAGTTGATATGTAGCGTTATTGTGATAACCAACCTGTGTTTTCTGCTGTCCCCGAGTAGCAGGGCTGACAAATATTGTTTGGTGGCCACACTGCCGTGTTCGCTCTTTGGTTTTTCGACGGTTGTTCCCGAGTGTCGCATGCGTCGCCGTATGGGCAAAACATTTTTGGGCGAAATGCGCGCGTTGCGTTGCGCTGTCGCAAAAGGTTTTGTTTCGATTTTTTACTCGCTCTTTCCCATGTTTACTTGCCTGCTGTGGTCGCCTCTCCAGCGACGTCGGGTTCGTGGATTTCTTGGACACCGAGAGCGCCACCATCGCTAAGGAGCGCTTCAAGGGCCACGTGTTCCGCGGACACCCAATAGGTGCAGAAGCAACAGCAACAAGAACAACAACTGCCTCCTCCCCAATATGAAACCCCGGGATGTGGATCTACTCCGTCCGATCGATAAACCGCAAGACACAGCAAGCAGAGTGCAAGCGCCCGCCGCACGTCCTGTCTGGCCAGGTTAACGGCAACGACTCTCCGTCGGTGATGATGGTGATGGTGATGACACCGGCCGTTTCGGAGGGGCACCGCGGCGGCGCTTCTCTTCGTCTTCGCCGAGCCGTACCTTCCTTGCACAACAACACCCCGCCCCCCTC